ATGTTCCCGAGACCATGGCAGTTCCTCTGCTTGTCACCCTTTATTCGTGATTGCAGCGTTGAAGCTGTAGCAAATTAAATTTTTCATGCGCTTTGATGTCACATAGCAATTAGTAATCATATCGAGATGCAGAAGAAATTGTTCATCTTCCGTAAAACTCGTGACAAAACAAGCCACTCGACGTTATTTTGAATCAAGAAAAGTTAAAAAAATATGTCTCTCCTATGATACTATCGTGCGCTAGAATGTCCTGAGCATTTGCTCACAATAAAGACTGCTGACACGTTGCGCAAAACACTCAGCGCTGCCTTGTCATCCTCAAAATTTGTAATGGACGAGCATGAGCGTCGCCGCCATGCTTAAAAACACGTGCGATAGCGCATTATGGTTAAATTTGTCCTTGCTAGGAGCCCAGACGAGGCTCTGGATGAGACCACCAACAAATTTGACACCGTATACAAGAAGCTCGTAGCTCGAATGGCTCCACTCCCAATTCCACGTCATGAAGCAGGCAATGGGACCGAAAAGCATCACAGGAATAAATCCAACAAAGAGAAACACCGCGTGCATGCTTACACTGGCCCAAACAGCCAGCACCATGTACATTACAGCAGCCATCCCGATAATCAAGTATGCCCATGGTTCGGGTAGATGACGACTAGCGGCTAGCGACAGCAGAGCAAAGTTGGTGATGACGGAGCATGCCAGTACAAAGCGCCACAATATTTCAATCATCTTATCCACATTTGCCCGGCTTAACTTGACACCAAAGACGCGCGCAGTCTGCACTAAATGCTTTTCTTGCTTGTGAGCAATGTCACGCATAGCCTCAAAGGCAACATGGTGCAGTAGTCCACCGAGTGCGGCGGAAATACCAAGCGCCATAAAGTACATAACGTACCAAGCCAAATCACCTTTGTCTGTAGCAGTAAAAAGTCCAGTGTAGACCGCAAAAGAAAAGCACTGCGCAGCTAGTAGGTAATCAGTGATGATGCACGCCGGCTGCGCATCCCATTCCTCGCCTGTGGCATCACGGTAGGCCCAAAGAGACCAATTCTCAAGTTCGGCCACGGCTTGACGACAAGCCTGGGCCATCGTCGAGGCGGCAGTAGTTGTACCAGGCGCAAGTCGCTTGCGCTGCGTAGCCATCGTCTGGTGCGTCGCAACTTCTGGGCTCATCGTGCGGATAGCGGACGGAGAATGCGCACCGACCGTTTTTCAGTGCTATTATTGAATTTTAGAGTAGTACAATCGCCATGTTAAATTTGGGTCATGACCCAAATACAGGTTGTTCATCTTATTTCGCCAAAAAATACAATTAGGTCAACACGGAAAAATAAATATCAACTAAACGTCATACTAGTATGAAATCAAGTCGTTGCAAAACTTTCGAATTTGGAGCAATGCGAAAGTAATAAAAGTCTCTCAGTTTGAGCGGAGCGTTCAAATGGTGACAAAAAAACTGATACCAGAAGTGTATTATTAGATGACGAATGTGATACCACACCAAGATTACACGATTTCCATAGTGGCAATCTGATATCGTTGGAATAGTATCTGCGCACAAAGAAACACTCAAGTAGAATTCTGATTCTTTTGTGGTTTCTGTGTCGTGACAATGTTAAATGCTATGAGATGCAGAGCTGTTTTAAGTGGAAAACTTTTTTGTTGTGCTTTACATATTTTAGCTTATGCTGTTAGATCAAAAACCGTCTGCTGAGATGTCAAGTAGTTTCGTTGTAAAGCCCCGTCAAATCCCTCGAATCTTACATCCTACATCATTTATCATTAATTACTATGTTGATTAAATCACATTTCTTTGAGTTTTAACTATTCTCGTGCGATATACGAAGTCCTGTGTTGAAAGTTGGAAGACAACAGTAGTATCGTAAGTATGAGAATAATGCGGGACTTTGTCTCAAACGGCAAATGCCAATAGCTCATACTTTGTTAAAATGCAGATCGCAACAGTTTCTGCAGAAATGCTGACTTTAAGCAATTGTAACTCCTATAGTATGTCCAGTTATGTTGTGAAAAGTGGAATAAAAAACTCTTGATGGCGGTCAGTACGTTTATTATTATGTTTTGAGAGGGTCCAGTATCTGCCTGTACCTACGCTGAGAGTTACACTTACTTTTTAACACATTTTGACGTCTGACGGTGTGATCTTTTAATTTCATCGGCTCGTATGGGCGTGTCCCCATTTTGGAACGGTGTTGAAAACTCAGCACTAGATTTATTTCGACGGAATTGAAAGGATAGCAGCATGAGCCAGTCATGGCTCTGCCGATCAGCAAAGCCATCTAGCGTTGATAGCGTCTCTTTAATGGAGCTAAGGACTACCGATGATATTTCTCGTTTGTAGGTCGACACAAACTGAGACTTACGGAAGAGCCATCGCACGACCAGAAATGTCGGCAGCATCTTTCTATGATCCCCGAGTGCACTAATGATACCACGCGCACTTGAGAAATTGTAATTATTTTTTGCTTGCAGAGATAGAAAATGGGATGCACCGTTAATTTTTGGTTAACGCTTTAATACACTCACTTTGCTGGTCGTGCGATGGCTCTTTGGTAGTCCTTACAGCGGCTTTGCTGATCGGCAGAGCCATGAGTGGCTAATGCTGCTATCCTTTTAATTCCATCAGTGCTGAGTTTTCACCGGGGAGACGCCCATATGAGGCCGATGGCGCCAAATATTATTTTCTAACCCCCCCGCGAGCTCTTATGTCGGATAAGACAGAAAAGTAGGCCATGGTGGATAGGCTCAAGACAGGTCTAACGAACATTTTATTACTATGGTAACAGATAATTTTATGCATGTACTCTGAGTCTTACATATGCTGACAAGATAAACGTATATATGACATGGTCTATGAGTTGTGGTCAGGCACTGTTAAGCTGGTTGCCTACACAAAAGCATTTCTTTTTCTTAAATTTCTAACAATGTCAATGGCTTGCACATTAAAGGAGACCAAGAGAACGGTCGATCTCTTCGATCTGCTCTTTTTTAGGGAAATGTGTGTGATGTATCCCCATCAATCGCTGAACAACCCTGATCACTTGGCAGCTGTAGCCGAATTCGTTGTCGTACCACACGTACAGGATCACCCTGTTGCCATCGACGATGGTGGCCTTACCATCTATTGTACCAGCGGCGCGGCAGCCAATAAAGTCAGTTGATGCAACTTCGGCAGAGTTGACAAAGTCAATCTGGTTTTGAAGCGGCGAATCCAGCGATACCTTTGACATATACGAATTGATCGAGTCTTTGGTGATACCCTCTGCTTTGGATGGGTCGAGCGTTAAGTTGAGAATCGCTAACGACACATTAGGCGTGGGCACTCGGATAGCGTTTGCGGTCAATTTATCCTTGAGGTTTGGAAGGCACTTAGCCACAGCAGCAGCAGCACCCGTTTCGGTAATCACCATGTTGAGCACCGCACTGCGACCACGACGCTCCTTTATGTGATAGTTGTCGATCAAGTTTTGGTCGTTTGTAAACGAGTGCACTGTCTCAATGTGTCCACCCATGATGCCGTACTTGTTGTCTAGCGCATACAGCGAAGGTGCAATAGCATTGGTCGTGCAAGAAGCGGCAGAGTAGATATCTTCTGACGCCGAGATGGAATCGTCATTAACACCGGCCACGATTGTCGGCACTGTACCCTTCGCAGGTGCCGTCAAAAGGACTTTGGAGACACCGGGAGACTTTAGGTGAAGTCCCAACATATCAACATCACGCCAGCGACCAGTGTTGTCGATGACAATGGCATTATCAATGCCATACTTTGTATAGTCGCACTTGTCTGGTCCATCCGAATATATGATCTGGATAAGGTTTCCATTAGCGATAATAGCGTTCACCTCCTCTTTAACGGTAATACTTCCATGAAACGGTCCATGCACTGAGTCGCGACGCAGCAGACTTGCTCGCTTGAAAAGGTCCTCCTTAGTACCCTTGCGTACGACAATAGCTCGTAGCATAAGTTTAACGCCTGGACCGCTCTTTTCTATAAGCAGACGGGCCAGAAGACGACCAATGCGACCAAAACCATAAAGAATCACATCTCTTGCCGTAAGAGTAGGGGTCTGGGTTAATGGGGCCATCTTGGCGTTCAATTGTTCGCCAAGCGCGCGCAATTCGGGTTCGCGACCTTCTGATGTAACCTGAGCCTGGACATTCAATACTTGCTTCTCCATAAAGACAAATGTACGACCAAGATCAATTCGCATATCGCGCGCATTGGGCGCGTACTGCACGAGAGCGAGCAGGACAACGAGCGTCTCGGTTGGTTGCATGCTTTTGCCCACGTACTTGCAAACATATTTGTGCAGCTTGATAATGTCGATACTGTTTTTGTGCACAAGACCTTTGCCAAACAGGACGCTCACCACATTGTTTTCGCGATATAGACGGCCGATGAGCGGTACCATTAGGTCAGCCGCATTCTCTTGTGTCTTCCATTCTCTCAGTTCATTCTCACGCAAAGCATTAATCTGGTCGCTTTCCAGCTGTAAGTCCGACATGGCTAGTTTCTAATAAGTTTGGCTTCGTGAAGACTTTTGCAGGGCAATGGACAACGCTGAATGAGCTGAAGAATTGGAAGCTTTTGCTGAAAACTTGGGTTATTGCACTCTGTGACGCAACCGACGCACCATCGAGTTTGTGTTTTTATGGTCGTTTATGTCACCAACATAAACGGACCGAGAATGTACTTCAACTCGGCTGCTTATATTACTCATTTTGTTATGCTTATATTACTAATTTTGTTATGCTTATGTTACTAGTTTTGTTATCCAGCAAATATAAAAGGTAATAGGGTCATGCCGCTCCAATATGGCTATCACCTTTATTTGTCACGACGATCATGCGTCGCACATGCTCGAAAGTAAGAATTGGTGCTATGAGTGCTCTCGTATATGATCTGATTTCGGATTTCAACTTTCTATTTCAAATTATGCAAATTACAGTGGCGTTGTTATGGGTAAAGTATGAACGCACTTTGACTAGGCACAATCATATCAAATCTGCTGCTGTGATAGAAGTGGTAGAACCCGCATCCAGATCCGAGTGTCGCTCAAGTGTATTTTGTGCTCATTTGGTAAAGTTATTGCACTTTAGTGCCCGCGATGTAACAGCCAGTGTATAATACAAAATTTCAAATTTCCCTTTACGCACATCGAAACCTTTAGTACCACATCTATGAACATTATCAGTAACGATTACGATTAGATGTTTTGTCCTTTACGCAGCCTTAGTGGATCTTGTTGGACAAATCTGAATTAAAGAGTTTTGAGTTGCTAAGAAATGCGCTGGTGGCCATCAACATTTCCACGCGTTTCACTTTGTTTTGTTGCCATAAGCCGGTTGGTGAACCCTGTTAATAATATCTGGTATCCAATTCATGTATTTGCCGTCACGTTGGCTTGACCTCAGAAGCACTAGCTTTTTGTCAAATTAGCCTCGTATCATAAACTTTCTCTTCGTTGTATGACGTCAGGAAGTGCAAAATTCAACAATCTATTACTTCACAACCTGTCGAAGCGCCTTCCTGCAAATTCGATTCTTCATTCTTATACACAGGAATCGCGTCGTGCCAATTATCCATGGGATCTGGAGGATGATCATAGCACCTTGCTACCTACACAAGAATAAGCTTTTCTATTTTAGCATAGGAGTTGCATTCGATTGTTCTTCAAACACATAAGGTCCAATGGTCGTGGAAGTCGCGATTTCTATGATTTGCTGATTGGAGTCTTTTTCCGAGATATAAATTCGCCTTCTGCATGACTTGGTGAAAATGACGGGAAAAATATACTCGTGATCCACCGATAGTTATAATTAAGCGCTGTTGCTGAGCCTTACCAATTAATGTAAACATGTCATTGATCTTCGTAACTTATTTATTGATTTAAATATATTCTCGAGAGGACATTTGATCCATTCAATGATGTGGATTATATAAAAATCGAATAACACCTGGACACAAATAAATATAAATGTATAATTTTAAAGTGCTCAACGCTTCTTGTGACTTTACTTTAAATATGTGCTGCAATAAATCCTGATGGCACCATGGTGTCCCGCTCTTAATGTCAAAATTGCAGCGCTGACTGAAGGGACTGACTTTCAGCTGCACATTTGTAAGTGAAGGTGTTATTCCTCCAATTTGAATTCTTCGCCCAAGGGCTGCTCATATAATTTTGTAAGCTGGTTAAATATTATGTGGCATACACCAGAAAGTACACGTGCTTCTTCCATAGCCAAGCTACTTAATCATGGTGCACAGTAGCAAGTACGACTTGCTAATTAAGCTCCTTTTAATTGGAGACAGCGGTATAGCTATTGTCGTACCTCTCTACATAGATCTTGCCTCATTTTATGAATACTTCTGCTGCTGAGCAGGTGTTGGTAAGAGTTGCGTGCTCTTACGTTACTCCGACGATTCGTTCACGACCTCCTTTATCACCACTATTGGGTGCGGAGTTGATCAATATTTCGATATCATGATAAAGAAGCTTATGAACTTACTTTACTATTCGGGTGCTGAACAGCATCGATTTTAAGGTTAAGACAATTGATGTGGATGGCAAGCGGATAAAGCTTCAAATTTGGGACACCGCAGGCCAAGAGCGCTTTCGAACCATCACGACCGGTGCGTACTGCTAATTTAACCATTTTGATACCAACTTAGTTTTAAACTTTTATTTGTTGCAACGATACTAGCTTATTACCGTGGTGCGATGGGAATTTTGCTGGTGTATGATGTGACAGACGACCACTCGTTTCAAAGTACGCAGCGGCATTCTTCTTTGGACCATGCCAAACTAATTCATTAGCTTTTATGTAGATATTCGCAACTGGATGACACAAATTCGACAAAACGCATCGTCTAATGTTAACCGGATTTTGGTTGGTAATAAATGCGATGTCGATTCTTCAGAAAGAGTGCGTGCAAGGTGTTGCAATATCGGTTTTCACAGTTATATTCACTCATGTTGGCTACTCTTAGGCAGTGACAACACAACAGGGCCAAGATCTGGCCGATGAATTCGGAATTAAGTTCTTTGAAACCAGTGCCAAGAGCAACCAAAACATCGATGACGCTTTTCGGTCGATTGCGGTGGATATCCAAAAGCGGCTGGCGGAAAGCGAACACGATAGATTAGATGTTGCTAGCGGCAGTAATTTTCGTGTGGATGCATCTCAAGAGCAGGCAAAAGACGGCTGTTGCACTTAATTTTAGGCTATGTAGTTTGTCGTCGTTTTTTGCCCATCTGCCTGATGAGCTCACCCATTTTTTCGTTATATGCCATACATAAATCCACAATTCTCTTTATTTAAAAATTGGGTCCGAAGTCTTATTACAGATTTAAAACAATCACAATGCGAAAATATGGATAAATTGCACTAGGTAACATACTTTAGATTTAGAAGTTTTGGTTTTGTTACCTGGTCTGTTTAAACATCCGATAGTATCACACCACCGTAGTATCGGTGGGTACTGTACTTGGCAGTTGTATCCCTTAAAAGCTCACGTGTTTTAGCTTCAGTTTTCGCAATAAGACCTGTCATTGTCCGGCGTTTGCATAATGACGGGTTTTGATAATGTCACAGCCCCAAACCAAGGGTATGTGTCAGCTTTTGAAATTTACCCTTGTGTTGTTTGACTGTGCTATTCCTATAAAAATTAACAAAAATTTATGACAAGTTCTGAAATAAAGGAGTAACACTGTCAACTTTGGTTCGCAATATCACATGTCGGGAAAAAATATATTACATCCATGGCAATGAATCGTTCGTGAACTTGCATTGTGTACAACAGTGGTACTTTTCCGAATCACATCCGTGCACTGCCGACAGATAGGCATGTTTTTGATTAAGAATTAATATTGTCAGTAAAGTGCCGGATAAAATACAAGCTTTGTAGCAAAGTAATATATTTTGAGCCTTAGGGTTATTGCCTAGAATCCTAAGCAGAATTTTGCGTATCATTGCGTCTCATGATTATCAATAATCGATGCTGCTCGTGTCCGTGCTGAGAACCTCTGACAAAAAAGTTCGCATAACCTGATGTGACTAGCGTTGAAGCCGCGCAAGTATGACAACTAATGTCAAACAAAAGGTAGAGTAAGTTTTTTGAAAAAAAAGAGCTACATCAAAACCGCAACCATTTGTCACGCGACAGGCCAATCGCATGGACGCATTAATGGCTGGTTCGAACTGAAATAGTACAATGAGCAAAGAAAGCGTGAATTTTGGCGGTGATGAGACGTGGAATGACTGGGTAGATGAAAGCTCGTCTGTACGTTACAGCTGCGTGTTCTGCGCGTACAAATCTACGGCTGAAGAGCCGCTACACACGCATCTACAAGATGCGCACAACTTCTCACTTCACCATGAGATCTCGACGTATGAGCTGGATACCTACGGTACAATCCAATTTATTAACTTTCTGCGCTGGAATACATTGGATGGAGTGTCAGTTGAGCAATTGAAGCAGACGCTGGCTATAGAAGGTAGCAGTGCTTTCCGAAAGGACGAGTTTCTTAAGCCGGTGATGCCCGACGATCCGCTTCTCTATTGCCTTAAATGCGACAGTGACAGTAGTGATGACGAGGATGAAAGTATCATTCACCAAAATCAACAGAGTGAAAAGGCGATACCACTTCCAACTGCTGCAGACGACGTTGTTAACGTGATTAATAAGCTGCGTCTTGAGAACCAAGAGCTTAAGCAGCAGATGTCGAGATACTCAAAAATAATCCGGGATTATGTGGCTGACGAAGAGACGGTTGTACCTGTTGCAGATGTTGCTGACAACGATACCTACTACTTTAAATCGTACTCGCATGTGTCAATTCACCGCGAGATGATCATGGATAGGATCCGCACTGATGGGTACCGCAATGCTATTATCAACAACTCGGAACTTTTCAAAGGCAAGGTGGTGCTAGATGTTGGTTGTGGTACAGGTATTTTGAGCATGTTTGCAGCCCAGGCTGGTGCAGCTCAAGTAATTGGCATTGACTGCAGTGAGATGGGAGACGTGGCTCGCGACATTGTGGCAATCAATGGATTTAGCGATGTCATTACGATACTTCGCGGAAAGGTGGAAGAGGTAAAGCTGTCCGTTGACAAGGTAGACATCATTGTCTCCGAGTGGATGGGATATTGTCTTCTGTATGAATCTATGCTGGACACTGTGTTGTTTGCCCGTGACAAATGGCTTACTTCTGGTGGCCACTTGTTCCCGGACAAGTGCTCCATATTCATACAGGCAATGGAGGACTCAACAAAGCGCTTTGACTTCTGGAATGACGTCTATGGCTTTAACATGAAACCTATTCAATCCAAAATTTCCATCGATGATGCCTTCGTGGAAGATGTCAAGCCGGAAGACATTATCTCAAGTCGCGAAATTCTGCAGAAGCTCGACATCAACAGTATCACTTATGAAAATCTCAACTTCCACTCTAACTTTACGCTATCAATCACCAGAGATGCCATTTTGCACGGCTTTGTGTCCAGCTTTGACATTGGTTTTGAGCGGGGTTGCCCACGCCCTGAATACTTCACTACGGGGGCTGAGGGCACCCCGACGCACTGGCACCAAGTCTTTTTTCATGTCCCGAAACCCTTCCCGGTTAAAAAAGGAGATGTTATTCACGGTAAGTGGTGGGTGCGGCGGAATGCTGAGAATCCGCGCTTTCTTGATGTTGAGATATATTGGAAACAAGCAATTGAAGACGATTTTTTGATCCAGTGTTATCGTATTCACTAGAAATACTGTAGACATAGTTACTTGCATATCAAGTGGGTCTTCGATAAATTTTGTTTCGGGTATTAAAATTGCAATGATATTCTTGAATAGGTCTTCTCGAAAAGCAATGGCATCAATAGAAAGCAATCATACAAAGTCGCAAAATTATAGCTGCATGATTAAGGTTTACGACTGCACTTTCACCTGGCTGATGACGTCCTTTACAAGTACAAGCATGGCAGAAACCTTTTCAAAATCCTCACTGGAAGGTACTAACAGAGTCAAGCACCTAAGCAGCAAGCAATGAGTAGAGGTTAGTGATGGTGTATGGTCGAGTTCTTCGACGAGAGGATCCGCCACAAGGGGTGGCTTGGCGTTGTTGACCACCCAAGTAAATACGTCGGCAGGAAGCATACTCATCACTGCAGCATACTCCGTCTCAACTTTCATCCGTCTTAATATAAGTGACAGTCGAGCCCTTGCAATGGCCCCTAGCTTTATAGCTAATCGCTCTGGTCGCTTCATTTTTTCGACGACCACGTCTGCCCGCTCGTCTTGCCCAGACTGATACAAGTATAGCACATACTCTTCAAGAATCACCTCTAACGAAAGTCCAAATGCCTCTGCTAATGCAAAACCTAATGTGTCATCGTGACGCAGAAGCTCTTTCAAAAACACTGAACGTTCTCGACCGACAGCACTTCTCTCCTCTTCAGTTGGCTGAATCTGCATTTGAGTTTTGAGTAAACTGTTCGGGCGGCACAAATGCTGGCCATTATTCGTGAACAGCTTGGCAACCGTAATCGGCGTGACTGCTGACGCAGCAAATGAGTCAAGCAGCATGATTAGACTGATGTGATCGGTGATAAGCGCAACCGAGGACATATCGAATGAATAGCTTTTCAGTGCTTGCATAAGCGCCGTAGTAACGTGCGAAGGTGGCCACTTTTTTCGGAACATTATATGAAGATCTTTCACCTGGCAGTGCCATTCGATAGGCTCAGTAAGGTTATTGATTCTGAATATAGAATCTCGAGATATGCTCTTGCCAAAGTCGTCATCAGCAGGAAGGAAGTCTGTGGCGCTTAATTCATCATCATAGTCGCTATCAGCTTCGGCATGTCCGTACGCTGTCGACACAACCCCAGCCGCTGAGAGTGTCTTCACTGCATCAAGCAGTGTGATAAGCAAATTTGAAATGATGCCGAAAAAGCGGCGAGCGACCTGTGGCTGAAGACCCCGTTGCGCCTTCTTACCAGCAGCACTCTCCTCCCAAAATGTGATCAGCGTCACGACGTGCACGCGGATGTATTTTTCCCAAATGTATGCTGCCATGGCGGCTTTAATCTGAAGTGACGTAACACATTCAAGTTCCAGCAATGCATCCTCCAATTGCCGCATAGCAGATCGCTCAGCATTCCAAGCCGCGCAAAGAAAAGCTACTCGGAAGCAGCACAAAGTATCTTTATCTGCGAGCTGAGGATAGACGCGTAATATAGCTTTCCAGTCCTTCATTTGAACAGCTTTACGACAATTTTCCATCGTCGCAACCCAGCCATCAGCTCCATCATTTCTCAGACCGATATCGACATGGTCTTTTGGTATTTGTATAGCGGCATCGTCTTCGCCAGGATCATGGCCTTCATTTATCTGCATGACAGCTATATTTCGCAAAATCTCATCCACATGCTCCACTGTATCCACAGATAACTGGCCGTACTTTCCGAGCCGCAATGACAAATGTACCGTTACTGCAATGCAATCCTGCAAAATGATCCAGCGTGTTCCACTACCAGCACTGCTATACTGACCAAGCGTGTCTTCTTCAGCACGCTTTGCAAACTGCTTCTCACCCCAACCACAGTGTTCACTCAGCACAAATCCATGAAATAGTTTGGGCGTCTTCCAACAGGACTCAAAGATTGCTCTTAGAGAAAGCGGGCAATCACGCAAACGTCGTAAACGGATTTCGTTTGACAAAAAATCGGTATTCGAGTTGTCCCCCCTGTCTTCAAAAAAATGTGTTTCAGTATCTGAAAGTACAAAGAATGACTCTAACCAGCGATATAGAGACGAAGACTTGGAAGGTTGAGGCAGCGCAATTACAGTACCGAGAGGTAGTGAATAATACCACTCAATAAAAAGTCGTGTGATAATGTCTTTCGTAAAAAAAATGGCTGAATGAAGTAAATGAAGCTCCTATTTGAGTGGAAATAACACGTCAGACAGGAAAATGCAAATAGGACGCTATGAGAGTCATCAATACCTGTACTTCAAATACATTCGATAGCAGTGGAGCAAATATCAACGTAAGAAGGCAGTCCTGTCGAGCTTCTTTGCAATGATCGCGGAGAACTGGAAGATTTAGTACGTGAAAAGTTTCTCGTAAGAAATCGTCCATGGAATCAGCTACTTCGTACAATGAAAGAATGTCGCGTCGTCGTGGCAAGTCAGGATCATTAAATGGCATAGAGAAAAACTCTATAAATTCCCACGCCGTGAGCTGGCTAGCGTCATTAATCGCTTTGCGCGTCCGGCTACACGATTCATCACCAAGTGAAGCGCCAGCCCGTCGTAACAATTCGAACCATGGAAGAAGACGCCTAAGAAAGCCAGAATCCTGATCGTTTGCATTTGCCTGCAAATCTTTTTCTCTTACGGTGTGTACCATCAGATCAAGCGCATGCTTGCTTCGCTCAAACTTCTACAAATATCTGTAAGTATTGATTCATGCAGAGGCACAAAACCCACTTACGGTCTGGAATTTAATAAAGGTAGACACAAGGCGATGATGCCAGAGAAGCTTCCACTGTAGGGAAAGCTCAACTCCAGTTAAAGTTTTCGAGGACATTCCATTTTTTAGTGCCTGCGATCGCATAAAAAATTATCAAGCATTGAAGTCAACGTTATGATGTCACAAGCGTAAATGTACCAGCTGCAATTTTTCCAAGGCTCTTAAGAGAAAGTGCGCACCAAGCAAAGCCATATCTGAGCTGAGGAAAACTTCGAACAGCGCCTGGATCGTTGTTGACGACGTAAAGCAGCCAATTTCTTCAAGTAACGATTCCAGCACCCCTGAATGGGTCGAGTCGACATGTTTTTTCTTCACGAAAGCTTGAAAGCCTCCAATAACCTGATGCAAAAGAAACTGTTCCTCTTGAAGCTTGTTTTGTGTGAAATAATTCGTCAAAGTAGACGTGTTGGATAATCCAGGTCTCAACTCAACTAATTCAAGTAATTTGTCAGTCTTTTCGATCAAGACGATACACTTCGATTTTCTGGTGACTGGATTAAACTGGGTGATCAGTCTTGCACTGTTACCAACGCCAAGAGAGAAAACTTTTGGTCCATATCGTGCACGCCATAATTCGACTATACCACGTTGGGCAGAGTAAATAACCAAATAAAGCCCTGGACGCCAACAATTTCTTTCCAGCCCTTGTATCCAGCCACACTGCGCATTCCGATAACCCTTCCACATCCGAATGACAACCATTCGCAAAGTATCGATCAACAAAATCCTTCCAAGTGAGTCTGCAACAGCCGCTAATTTGCCTGAAGGACTCAGAACTAGCCCTTTGCATCGTCGCCGCTCATCTTCGTAGATCGATCGAGTCATGCCGATTGGAGCCGGTACATGTTCTGCCGCAGCATCAATCGCATCAGCATCAGATTGCAGGAATCCAGCATGTCTGCCATTTCCAGCGAGCGCTCTGTACCCCCAACTCGTCGCATAGCTCCAAACAGCCCCTGCAGCTCTCGAAGCAATGGCTGTGGCAATATGTGCTAAATGAATTATGGAATTCTGGTCGTTTCCCGCCTGATAAAACGCAAGGAATGGGGACGAGCCCGCAGTCATAAGAGTGCACATACCAAGTCGTGAATGAGACTGGAAAATCGTGGGTCGTACAGGGCCACAAGGGAAAGCCGCCACAATGTCATTTTGTTGTTGTAAAGAATACTTTCTAAATTTACTGGCCTGTGCGGGTCTCAACATCGCTGAGTTAATCCTGGCTTGAATTTCCGAAAGCTGAATTATAGCCACAGTTGAATCCGCGTAGAGGACCCAAAGCTCACCATCTATGTCCAGCTCGCTCGACAGTAAAGCGCTGGATCGATGAGATGCCATTATTGTAGACACATTGCGGTTCATTTCTAGCGTGCGCACTGCTGCACCGTGCAACTTCTGCTCAAACACAAGTTTGCCTAATCGATTGAAAATGCGGACGACGCCCGTCGTGTAGCCGACGCAAAATAGCTCGTGATTAATCCACTTCACATCCACAATCACTTCCGATTCATCTAGACATAAGTTCTTCACTTCTTCAATACAGCTCAGCGAGACTGTCGTTTGACCAGCCGTTTCTTTCATTTCTGCGCTATAAATCTGACGCTCAAAGCCCAGCACCAGTGTCATATCATCAGTTACATCGACGAGCACGCGTGAATCATGCAGTGATGTGGGCAGCGAGGCACAATCAACATGTATTGTTGCCGCCAAAACATCTTCAACTAGATTAGATGCCATCAAGAATGTGGGCTTTTATTCACTGCAGAATTGATCTTGGTACAGTGTACCATGATTAGCTTGCCCTATTTAAGTGGTTAAATGCTACGCAATCGATTTCGTGTCGACGAGGATGTCACGTCGTGACTTACGACACTCCTGGTAGCAACATCGTTGAGTCATCTCACGCATAGACCCATAAATGCACGCGCAATCACTCTCATAAACTAGATTTGCTTTACAGCGTTTACTGTGATGCTAACTTGACACTGATAGAGAAACAGCGAGAAGAGCAACTTGATTGTTGAACCTTCGATGACGATTGACAGTTCAGGCATTAGATTTCCCGGCACCTTTGTTATTGTCATTGTAGTGGGTTTGATTACATTTCGGATCCTGGTTTTCCTTCTGGCCATGTTAAGGCGCAGCAAAATTGACCCTACACACAGAGACTCCGATACCAATCGTCAACTGGACAACCCGAGCTTATACGTGAAGCGGCCAACTTTGACCGTTCGAATAACGGGATACAGTGGCCCCGACGAAATCAGATCAAGCGAGTCGGTCGTTCCTGTGCTAGGTGATAATACTCTTCACCACATTTTAAAGGAGAGACAAAAGCTTTCTACGGCTGAAAGCACCTTGTTTAGCATTGCTCCTGTCAGTATCCAGCATACAAGACCAACAGTGCATCAACATATTTGCACAACAGCTCAAGGTCATGTATTAACAGATGTTCGTGCAGCTAGCGATTACAGTTACAGCCCACACGCGGACAACTATTCGATAGGCATGCTCGAGTCGCCAATCTCAACCAATTACAGCTTTGGTTCGGATACAGATAATAGCTTCATATCTATGGATTGGGATGAAGATGATTCGTGCAGTTACTGACTTGACATCAGGACGTACCGTCTAAGGACTTAAACCGAACCCTCTACTCAGTTGCCTGCCGCATAATTATATAAGGGCAAAGTCTGAGAGATTAACTATAAAACGCCATTTTTAATTTTCAATCTGTAAATACGTTTTAACTTAAAATCACCAGTGTTAATAAGAACTGTACCATAAGCTGCTAACAAATTTGTATATTTCGTAGCTTGCTTGAAAAGCGACAATAATTTACTAATCGGCACTCGAAGACGCTACAATATACTGTAACGATGTACGAGCCGTGTTATAGTGTATCTACAAATTGCACTATTGTGCAAAGTTTAAACGCACCAAAGGATGAGGGCGATTCGACCTTGCAAAGAAGTCTTTTTTGCAATAAAACATGTCCGACAAATTTTGTAACGGGGTTACACGTACCCTGGTAACAGGGGTGTGGGTCACACGAGATGTGCATGGTGTGACCACACCCAAACAAGAATACGGTACGGGGCT